GCATTGATATTTTACTTCGAACTATAATAATCAAACATAATCTAAGTAAGATTCATCTTAATAATGCTTATTTAATGAGAGATAAAGAATAGATATAATAAAGTCTTAACATTTTAGTATATGTAATATGTAGGTATATTTGTTTAATGAAAAAAATTAAGTAATCTTAAAAACCTATGTGATTCTTGTGTGTTTCTTATTTATTTTATTAAGAGCTTATTTTTCAATCCTCAGATAAAATTTATTCATAGGATAAATACAACAAAGACAAATTAAAAAAGTTAGAAGAATAAAATAATTCAATTGTTTATTATTGTATATTCAGTCAGGTTGTAATATTTTTGATGGATAACTCTATATTTAACGATTGAAAAATCAGCCTTAAACAAAATTAATTTCAAATACTTTACATGTACACAAAGCATAGGATGCAAAACATTATTTTAGCAAGTACAACACAATAACAATAATTTCTATACTGTCAACTACCCTCGATATCTTTCCATTCTTGTGAGTCTAAAACAGTACAATTTTAAATTTCAGCTACTTATAGCGGCTGGTATTCAAGTATTTGATGAGTGATTCAATAGAAATTAAAACTATTAATTAGGTATTCCTTTTTGATTATTAATCTTAACCCAAATACAGATTTTTTTTTTCAAAGAAACGAAAGAGGTGTATCTTGCCAAATGGAAGCCCGTTGTCATTGCCTCTGGATGACAGGCGTAAGAGTTTATGTATAAAGAGTTTAAGTATGTATGCATTGTATATCAATGATATGTATGTATGTAACTACAAACTCTGTAATTTACCTAAGGAAATTTGCAACTGACATGTGCTTGCACTAATACATTTGTGTCAATTGTATCAGTATCCTACGGGGTTCATTACAATAAGCGGGGTTTACGGGGGTCATTTGTAAAAAATATTTTTTGTTTCATTTCGTTTTTGGATGTTTAAACAAATATTCGTTTTCGACAAAATTTCTACTGATCGGACGAAGGTCGAATGTGCGGCCGCAGATGGCCAAAGCCCATGCAAAATCTTCAGTCGGACACTACTTATATTACTTGTATAATTTAAAAAGCTTTAGACACAAATCCATGCCATATTTTAAGTAAGAATTACAATTTCTGTTGACGTAACCTGTAATATAAGAAATGTTGTCTGCAATCACTGTTTACTGTTTCACTGATATGATTTTATCTTTTGCATGTAAGATAATTAAGATAAGAGCAAGAATTAAATTTTTATAATAATGATTACATTAGTTACATATCTGTTTCTAAAAAGAATAATTATTTACTTCTACTACCTGCAATTTTAAATTAATATTATTTATCTAATACATTAAAGAAATCTTTCTTAGCATTGCCTGCTTTCCTTGCTTCCGTGCATAGTGTCAGCGACTTATGTAACATAATTATAAATAATAAAGTAGACCTGTGTTTTGCTACGGAGGCAGGGCAGACATAGCGAACGCTCTGTCCTGGCGAAAATGTTCTACTGGAAGTTAACCAACAAAAACAGTGGGATATTCCGTTGATACAGAGAGTGCAGAAAGATTTGTTTCATAATTTCCATAGTGACCAAGATCAGGCACGTCTTCTAGCTGTTTGGACTAAGGAATCTAGTCACTGGTTACATGCTTTACGATCAAGTAATCTCGGCACATTACTTGATAAGGAAAGCTTGCGCATCGCCGTAGGAATCCGACTTGGAGCGGCGATTTGTCAATCCCATCAGAGCCCCTATTGTAGCACCGTCGACAAGTTTGGGCTCCACGGACTTTCATGTAATAAAAGTGCTGGTAGGTTTTCACGGCACGGTTCTTTGAACGATGTGATCCGAAAGTCTCCTGTCTCTATAAATGTTCCCTCGGTTTTACAGCCTTGTGAAATATTTAGAGAAGATGGCAGGAGACCCGACGATATGACATTGGTCCCTTGGGAAAGAGGTAAAGCCCTAGTGTGGGATGCTACATGCGTAGACACTGGCGGCCTCTCATCTCAAGGGTACCTCGTTTAGAGCCGGGGCGGCATCAGAGGCAGCTGAACTGAGTAAGTGGCGCAAATATGAGTCTCTGAGAGATGACTACATATTTGTGCCATTTGTTGTAGAGACTATCGGTCCGTGGGGTCTACGTGCGGTGAAGTTCCTAAAGGAACTCTATCCGCAACTGGTCGTTGCTAAGAGAGCCGTTTCTTTTCTCGCTCAAAGGCTAAGTATAGCTATTCAGCGAGGAAACGCAGCCAGCGACTGTAAGATAATTATTAGTTTTAGTTTTTTTTTTTTATTATAGTTTTATGATATTGTATATTATGTTATGTAAATAAATAAAACAAAAATTGAAAAAGAAAAGTAGTGCATTCTTAAGTATACTCAGCTATTAGACAATCACTTCACGACTTCCAGCTCGGTTTACTCCCCGATAGATCTACTGTCACAAACCTTGTCTTATTTAATGACTTTCTGACTCCATGGATAAAGGCCATCAAATTGATGTCATTTACACGGATTATAGTAAGGCATTCGACCAGATTACCATAGCCGCCTCCTATACAAGCTTGAATGTGTTGGCATAAGTGGAGATTTACTTCGCTGGTTTTCTTCATATATTGAGAACATAACACAAGCTGTAGTGGTAAATAAATACATTTCTAGTGGTGTCAAGGTCCCTAGTGGTGTTCCCCAGGGCTTGTTGCTAGCACCTTTACTCTTTGCTATCTTTGTCAATGACAGTGGCGTAGACCCTTTAAATGCGATGCCCCCAGAATTTACCACAGATGACTAATTAATTTGATAACTTTTACGCTCTAAAAAGAACATCACAAATTTAAAAGCGTGTTTGTTTAGGGCCTCGCAAGAAGCCCCTCTTAAGTGCGACTGAGAGGCCATTGTAACTACCTTCAAAAATCGCAACCGTTAGATTGCCGGAATACGAGACTTGTGAGGAATAAATAGCTATGAGTAGGTATGTCGTGCCAAAGCATGTATGGTAGAATAGATCTATTGGGTAGATCTTGGGAACGAAAGAAAAGATGACATGAAAATATTTGCAAATATTTCTTCATTAAAAGACGCAGAAGCACTACAAAATTACTTAAGAAATTTACTTGATTATTGTACCTATAACCATCTCGATCTCAACCCTACATAATACTCAGTTGTACATTTAGCCGTAGATCGGTGTATGATTACAAGATTCGAGGCTGATCCGTAAGCGACTTGGGTTTATATTATGGGAGTTATACATGACTCGAAACTTCGGTTTACATAAATGTAGAAAGTTCCATCTTTTACAACTCTAAATACGAATTAAAATGGCGGATATTACCTTTCTACTTAAGATAGTTTCAAGCGAGATCGACTGTCCAGGTATACTTTCGAAGTTAAATATCAAAACTCCAAAAACTGTTAGACGAAACGTTCCACTATCGCTACCTGGGGCCAGGACTAATTATAGGCAGAATAGCTATATGTACCGTGTGAGTAAGAACTTTAATACTGTATCTCAATCATTAAATTAACACCTATTCAATACAAGTATCATTTCAGCGAGACGAGTTCTGAGTAAGCTATTTTTCGACTGCATTTTACTTTTATTTTTGTTAATCTGTAATTTTAGTTAATTACTGTGCGATCTTACCTAGCGTTTGGTGCGTATTTGGTCCTATTAACTGTCAATAATTCACCGCATGCAGATATTTATATAATGTTACTATTTGCAAAAACCCATAGTTTCCTATAGCTTAATTATTTTCTACCTACTCTCCTAATCCAAGGGTTTTCTGATTAAATAAATAAATAAATTGCACTGCATTTTATATGTGGTAGAGCCATGCTGCAGTTAATTGGTAGTATAGTTGTAGCAAAAATGGGTCAGCTCAACCTGGGCAGAACCACGCTCTCACAGAATACCAGCGTAAAATAGTAGCTTATTGTTGTTGTGTTTCATATGGTGAGTGTAGAGAACTGGAGACCCTGCAACCTGAGAAACACAGCAACTGGTATTAAGTGCATGTGTGATAATTCCCCCGTCGAGCTGCCCCATTCGTATGTATATATAGAGAACTAGAGACCCTTTTTTACTGGAAACTAGGCATTACATCTTAGTTCTCATGGGTGACAATGCATCTATATTTTGATTCATAGTCGAAGATAGATATAGATGTCTATGGGGCACAGCAACCACTTACTATCAGGTGGACTGTGTGCTCGTTTGTCACCCTTATCCTATAAAAATTAAACAAACTGCTACCTCACGACCAGCACCAACCAAATTGTGGAACAGTGTAGTGCTCTTTAAACCAGGAAACACTCTGTTAATGTCATAGTACGTAGACTAATAATTATTATTTACAGGCTATACAAACACTTGTTCAAAAAACTTGTTCTTGGGATTAAATCCCACAGCCTGCAGAGCTGCAACTAGCCACTGCACCAATAAGCTGTCCAATAGCACATTACCATGTACATTATCTTGAGATCTTACAATGGTATACTTAGGTAGGATTAAATTTTATTAACTACAGGATGCAATGCCAACGTAAACACCCAGTGATCTTCCCTATTAAAATAGACATAACTGTTACAACATATCAAAAGTCTACTGCTAAATATAGGGCTACCCATAGATTGCCAGATGCGAACAATATTTGCCACAGTTGCAGTTTAGCAACCACCCTCTGCTGCAGTTGCTGCTCTCCATCTTCTGGTTTGTTTCCATCTGTCACCTCTTACAACACCCTTGGGACAATATGGTTTAGAGGATATTTTCACACCACAACTACACAGTTCTTAAGATATTTTTATTATCAATAACCCCATGAATTATCCTTAGTAACAATTTATCTTTTTAATAAAAACTTATCTTTATAATATTTTTTAGTAATTATACCTAAACTTTCTTGGACATATTGAATTTCTGTTTTTAAAAGCAACTTAATGCATTTTGTGTGTTATAAATAAATAGTATCCATCAACCATTAATATTATACCTGAGTCTGTCATTCCATGATCACCAATTACATAAAGCAGCACATCTGGAGGAAGGATATCAATCATTTTCTGGAGTCTTGCATTAGTTTCCTGTAACTTCCTCGCCATCTCTGGATGATTGGGGCCATACCTATGGCCTGCATGGTCTACACCAAGATAGTGCGCCACAAGTAAATCCCAATCATCTTTTTTTATTTCTTCATATATCTTAGAGTCCACTTCTATAAATAAATTTAAAAACTTTCATTTAAAACTAAAACATAATAAATTTCATCATAAAAAAAATATCATCATCATCTTTACACAGTCCTTAACAAGTCCATTGCTGAACATGGACCTCCCCAAAGGAATGCCACTAAATGAGCAATTGAGCTACTGTGTTTTATATGTTTAGTATAGAGAACTGGAGACCCTATTTTTTGAAATGAAACATTCCATCTTAGTCATCAAAACGCATCTACATTTTGATTCTTAATCAAGGCTAGATGTCGATGTCTATGGGCTACGGCACCCACTTACCATCAGGTGGACTGTGTGCTTGTTTAACACTGTTATTCTAAAAAATCATTAAATATTAATATATAATATAATAATTATAATTATTCATGTATTAACCAGATAGTCAATGGATGCAGGTGGCTCAGGACAATACATTATGGCATACCTTGGTTGAGACCAAAGTACAGCAGTGGGCTTAGCTTTCCATTGACGTCAGTGGAGTTTGGTGTTGATACGTATTTTTACAGAAAGATTACACTATTATAAGCACACACACAAAGTCTCAATATACGGAAACGCGTAATTTTTGAGAAAAGAATAATTGAAAATCAATTATTCTTGCAATGTTTATGTCTAATCAGCTAATAAACTGGCGCCATTTTGTAATGTCATTGTCGACGTCAATAGGGATGTCGATTCTTTCCGAAAAAGGTCGATTTTTAAATCGATTCAAATCGTAAGCTGATGTATCGGTTCACAAAAAATCGATTTCTAAAATATCTAAATTTTTTTAATGTTTCTATTTATAATGTAAATATAAACCCATTTTATGAAAAACAAGAAAGATACCATGATAAATGATCTCTTATTGAAATTTGTTTTATTTAACAGTACCTATTAGGGCAGATAACAAATAAAATAGGTTAGGTTCAACTTATGTCAAAGAACCGAATTGATTGACCCCGACTCCACCTGGTACGAGTCTGTCCTACCCCTAGAGTGGTTTTATAGAGCCGGAGGCGCGTAGGGGGAGCAGCCTCCGCCGCTTCGGCTCGTCCAATGCCTACGATTTGTTACGCTAAGGCGTAGAGGTTGCTCTTCCCGCAGCGCCGGAGACGTAGCAGTCTCAAAATAGATACAGAAATCCTTATGAATCAGTCCCCTTATTTTTTTATGATGAAGGGGATTTTTTCTCATAAAATGGATTTATATTTACATTATAAATGCAAACATGAAAAAAATATCGACAATTTAGAAATCGATTTTTTGGGAATCGATACATCAGCTTACAATTCGAATCTATTTAAAAAATCAATCTTTTTCGGAAAGAATTGACATCCCTATTGACGTCGACAATGACACTACAAAATGGCGCCAGTTTATTAGCAGATTAGACATAAACATTGCAAGAATAATTGATTTTCAATTATTCTTTTCTCAAAAATTACGCGTTTCCGTATATTGAGACTTTGTGTGTGTGCTTATAATAGTGTAATCTTTCTGTAAAAATACGTATCAACACCAAACTCCACTGACGTCAATGGAAAGTCGTACCCAGCAGTGGACTTGTGAGGGGCTGTAGTGATGATAATAATGATGATGACATGTTTACCATTATCAACTGTATCAAGATCCCAAGTATGGAATGAGTATAAAGCATGCGATCTAAGCCATCTGCCTGGCAGCAAGCGAGACCATGTGTCATCTCCCAGTAGTATTATTTTACCTCCACTTTTTACTACCTGAAATGGAAATTGGTATGTACAACAAACAATTTTCATATTGAAAAGTTTCCCAAAGATAATTACCTAAAGTACCTGATCAATCAAATTGTCTTCTTGTAATTCCATAGCAGCAAAATTAGAACTAGCATCAATAAACGTAGGTAATGAACCTGTGACTAAAGCTTTCACTCGCTGAAGTGTAGTTGTAGGTGGATCTGCAATAAATCTATACAAACGAGAACTTTCTGGCCACTGCTCTATCATTTTTTTAATAACGGTGAGCTGATTTTGGTAAAACAGTGGTTTATCCAACTTCGGATTATACTCTGTAAAATCATAGCGAAGAGCATCTACCAATATTAGAATCACTCTATTGGGAACAGGAGCACAAATCAGGGGCGCACCAAGAAATGACGACACATGCCTAATTTTTATATTATCACTGCAAGTGCCTTTTAATGTATTTTCCCTTCCATCGCAATCAATTTTACTAAGTGATACACAATCTGAAACATCGTTTAAAGTCTTTCTAGATAATAGAAAACCATGTCCAAACATAAGTACAGCCGATAGTATTAAATACGAAAACCATATCAGATAAAAAATAAAATGCCATTTTTCTTTCATAATGTGTTTCTAAACTTAAATTATTTTTACAAATTAATAAAAGGCATGTTTTTATTTCATCTAGTCGAACATAAATCTAATTCTTAACTTTCTGAATCCCCTGAAAACTTGTCCTGGATCCACTACAGACACAGATTTCTTTCTTGTGTGCAGAGTTCTGTCCTGTTCAAATATAAATATGTAGCAATCTAGTCCTGGTTGGTTCGGATTTAAGTAGTTTATTCTTTGAATTTGTTCACAAAACACTCTTACGCTCTACTGAGAGGTTCTGTTCTTCTGTTCTATGATCTGGAAGCAGAGACACAGGACAATATTACTCTTACACTTGCTTGTAGAGGCGGACCAAGGCGGACACCACGGATGGATGGATGACATGACACTGACAGTGACATCTAAGTGACAGCTAAGGCAGAAGACAGCCATAGACTTAGAATACAGCAAACAGCAGCCAGAAGCAGCCAGAAGTTGTAACTTGTCAAACTTTTTTTCTTTGACCATTGATTTGTACGGTTGTACTTTAGCCAAGATTAGTATATATAATTTGTTCAAAACCTATCCTTCTATTTGATGATACATAAGCATAACATTTCAGACTTACGTCAGCCACATACATACGGAATTCCGTTTCGGAATAACGATTCGGGATTCCGTTAACACATTATTTCCGTTCAGAATAAGTAGGCTCAGTTGAGTGATGTTAGCCATTGGGTCTAGATATTCTAAAAGTGAAAAATGACGACGATTTTCCCCTTCCCCTTAACACCCTAAAATTGCAATATAGTCAGTATTATGTAAAAATATCTATCTATCTAGTATGCGTGGGCGTTATTTTACGTCACTATTTACAATAATTGGTTTCAAGTTTCAAGTCGAACATTAGTAGTGATTTTCGTGTAGAAAGCTACATATTTAATATTTATATATTAAAAAAATCATAACGTAATTTAAAATCATAACGTATCTTACATGTGAAAACATGTAATCTAATATGCTCGCTTCGGTCGTGCGACGCACACTAAGCCTGAGTGCGTCCTGTATGGAATTTACGAATGTGTGTTGCGACTCATACAAAATCTATGTAAGACGTGCATTCGTAACTGTTTTCTTCCGTGCGGGATTACGAATGCACAAGCGGTCATGCGGAATCTCGAATCGGAAAAAATTCCATACGGAAAACTACTGTACGTCTGCTGCGGCCTTAGGCTGGCCACATATGTACATACGGAATTGTGTTTTAGGATAACGTTTCGGAATTCCAAGTCAGCAAGTCCATATAACATCATATGGCATATGGTCTGACACAACTGGTTACTTCGCCTACGCGGATTCCAGATGTGGAGGATCATACACCATCCCTGTTGGACCTTCTGCTGACCTCTCATCCGGACGGATACAGGTTTCCGTCGATGCCCCTTTCGGCTTTTTGGACCATTGTCTGATCCGGAGTGTGGTGCCATTCACGCTCCCCTCGCGGTTGCGTTCTGCAGGTTGCCGCCGTGTTTGACATTACAGGTCAGAGGATTGGGACGGAATGCGGTCTTTCTTTGCATCCTACCCATGGGGGCAGGTTTGCTTCTCGCCGGATAATCCCAGCGCTGTTGCTGACTCTGTCACTGAAGTGGTGCAACAGGGAATGGAACTATTTATTCCATAATCTGTGGTACCCATCGGAGGCAGATCTCAGCCTTGGTTTGGTCGCTCCTGTAAGACTGCATTACGCAATAAACAGGAGTGTTATCAAGCCTGGGCTGCGGCTTCGGCGACTCGGGATGTAAACACCAGCACACTTAAAAAGAAGTATAACTTCGCCTCCAGGTCCTTCAAAAGAGTTATTGCCAAGGCAAAGTCAGAGCACATAGGCTGAATTGGCGAGAAACTAGTTCGCCTTCCTTCGGGAACCCGTGTATTTTGGTCTCTCGCCAAGGCTGTACAAGGGAATTTCTGTAAGCCATCACTACCATCTCTGCACAGGGAGGACGACTCACTGGCTCACGACGTGAAAGAGAAAGCCAACCTTTTAGGCACCCTTTTTACGTCCAACTCGACTGTTGAAGACGGCGGTAACACACCGCTGACGATCCCGCGTTGTGAGTGCTCCATGCCGGATGTGCGGTTCTCACAGTGCTCGGTTCGCAGAGCACTCCTCTCCCTGGACATCCACAAGTCTAGTGGGCCTGACGGAATCCCCCCAAGTGAGTGCTGAGGACATGTGCTCCGGAGTTGGCGCCGGTCCTAACGCGTCTTTTCCGGTACTCCTACTCTCAAGGCGTAGTCCCGAATTCATGGAAGACAGCTTTTGTCCACCCGATCCCTAAAAAAGGCGACAGTACAGCCTCAGCCAGTATCGGAATCCTCGGAGTCGACATATCGAGTAACGTGCAGTCGAAGTTATATTATGGTCGTACCAAGAATGGGTTTGCTCGACCGGGGAAGGATAACGCTCTCACAGAAAACCAACCTAAAATAGCAGCTCAATGCTGCTGTGTTTCATATGGTGAGTGTAGAGAACCGGATACCCTTTTTACTGGAAACGAGGCATTCCATCTTAGTACTCACGGGTGACAACGCATCTGCATTTTGATTCCTCATCGAGGATAAATGTAGATGTCTATGGGCCACAGCAACCACTTATAAAAAAAAAGTATAATCATGCAAAATTACAGCTATTTATAGTAGGTATCAATAGTCTCTAAGTTAAGCCGCGGTTCCTTGTTAATTGCTACGGAAGCCTAAAAATACTTGGTTTCGCTGACCAAACTAAAGAGTTCAGATGATTTTAATTGTTCGAGTGCGTTTTGCTTATGCTTATATTTTTTTCGCTTAGGGAAACTATCGATATGGTAGCATCGCAATTAATTTATCTGTCTTACACTCATAACTTTTTCTATGTTGATGTATTTAACCTATAAGTGTGCGTAAAATGTAACAGTGTTGGGTTTTTAGATTTGTGTGTGCCATAATGACACCAAGTGTTATTGAGTATGTGTGCAATACAATCTATGTAGTGTTTACTCGCCCTGCAACAAAAGTGACAAACTTTTTTGTTCGTAGCATGAGGCGCATTACTCGTCCTTTGGTTGAATGGTCTAAGACCTGACAGTACTATCTCAATAAAGCTATGTACTATCTGAAGGAAAACAGATGGGGCTTAAGCCTTTATTAAATTTTTCTTATTTCAAGAAAACATCGAATGGATTAGTTATGAATTTTTCCTTCTTTATTTTTTTATATTTTCTTATTTTTTTTCCTAGCTTGGGGTTCGAGAAAATCAAAAACTGCCGAGTGAATTACGAAAATTGACGCTTTAATCACAGAACACTAATTACAATTTAAAACCACACTAATAATAAAACACAATTGTAGTGAAGTATTCGCTTGTATCGCCAACTCAACACTGACTCCGGTCGCGGTCTGTACCGGCTTTATATGGGGCCTCAGATAGTTTCCAGAATCTTCTACTGTAGAAACATCTAGAATGTTCGAGTACATATCGGTTCCGACTGACTAGTTGTCGATAGTTCTAGACAATTCTAATCTTGACTCTCCTAGTTCTGCTACTCGATACTAGAAGGTGCTAGTGGTAACTAGTATCGCCATGTACCAGTCATTAATGGTGGCGCGCAACAATACGTATTTATGATAGGTTTTGTAAAAGTTAAACAGGTACTGTTAATTTCTATTCATAAATATGGATTACAAATTTTATAATTCAATTTTAACAATATTTTTTTTATTTGTTCCCAACGTTAAAGTTGTTAAAAAATTACCTTGTGTAGGGGAGACCAGGTACAAAACTAATATTTTGTACTTTTACCTTAGTTTCTGGTTTGATGTAATTATTTTAATGAAATTAATATAGCCATATATTATACATTCCGTTTATGTTCTTTACATTAATATCTAAGTTTACCTTATTATTGTGTATTTTATTTGAATCACAGAGACTTCAAAAAATTCGTCAGTTGTTACTTTCGACCACGTAGGCAGGTCGAAAGTAACACGACAAAAGGGTTTGTAATGAATACGAGTATAAGGTGACGAGCAAATTATTTATTAGACAATTTTGTATTAATAACACAGATAAACATTTGCATTTTAAATTCTCAAAAATTATATTATATTTTAAGAAAACGAAACAAATTATTCTTGCTTTAAATAAGATCAATTATTATATGATAATTTTTTTTTATAATCAGACTATTCAGTATTAGTCTTTTACTCAGACTCACAATTATGGCACACATAATTTCTATCATCGTTAACGCATTCAGCATGTGACCACATATTACATTTGGTAAATTGTATCCATTGCTCATTTGGTCAACTGCTGCTATAAGTTTCTAAATAAACGAGATAGAAGCAATCATCGTCGTAAATTTTTTTCCTTTTCCCTTCCCTTTGTAGATATCAACTTCCTCTTGCCATTTCCAGTATCGGGGTGTAAAAGCGTTTCTTGGATTTATATGTTGGTATTCTTCTTCAATTGCATTTTTTTTGAGATTTCATATAATGTTCGTTGAAACTAAAAACCCGCGACAGGCTTGTTGCTTGAGCGCACCTCAAAGAGGCTCAGATGTCGTTTTAAAAACCCGTCAACCACTCCTTACCCGCCATTATCGTTAGTATCGTGCCACTTTTCAGGAAATGTTTTTTCATTTCTTATCGCCTACTCATATGCCGGTTTACGTACTTCAGATGGAGATAACCCAAAATAAACTCCAGAGCACTCGATGAAATAGTCCTGTAGACATTTTTCCTCAACAATAGTAAATTCTATTAGATTCTGTTGCTGATGTGGTACTTCAGGGTATGGAACTTTTTATTCCATCCTCTGTGGTGCCCATCGGAGGCAGATACCAGCCATGGTTTGGTCGCTCCTGTAAAATAGCATCACGCTATAAGCAGGAGTGCTACCGGGCCCTGGCTGACGCATTACGTCTCGGGATGTAAACACCAGCGCACTTAAAAAGAAGTATAATTCCGCCTCCAGGTCCTTCAAA